TGAAAAACTGTTTTACGAGAAAGATTTCATAAATTTCAATAGCATTGGCTGCTTGATCAATGAATACCGAACGTTTCCTTATAAGAAAACGGCTAATATTACCATTAGCATTAACGTATAAACTACAGGCCCCTTTAGAGACTATACCCATTCTTTAGTCCAGTAGCAGTTGTTTCCCTTTGTCTACCACCGTTGTAAACAAAGATAATATATTGAATAAATATTCTTACACTATATCCGTCATGTTTTCATACACCATATCCGCCATGTTTTATCCTAATGCAAGATTTTTAAATTTATATCTTTTTTCTTTTCACGTTTTTTTTCTACATATTTTATTTACCTATTTTTTCGCTATTGTCTGTTACTTTCTACTGAATTTTCTACGCATCACGAAGCATCGCATTTTAGTATCTGTCGTGTTGACAGGTTTTCTAACCAGAAAAAAGAGACCCTGACCTAAATAGCCATTGAATTAAGTCCGACACAGGACACGTTCAGATGTGAGACTGTGAAGGAAAAGGAAAGAAACTCGAACAATGTTTTGAAAAATATTCATCATTCAACGCATACCAGTCAATTAGTCAACCAAGCAAAGAAGGGTTTTTTTTTTCTACTTCCTCTTTCTTTTTCCTTTTCGTCAACCTTTTAATTTCTGTTTTTCCTTTCGTTTTCTCTTCTTTCTTATTCTCTCTTTGGTTTCTTTCTTTTCTCAGTAAAACTGTTGGAAACAGGCTACGTCAAAAATAGTGTTGGAAATTCGAGGTGTTTACTATATTTTGTCCAGCAATCTAACAAAATGTGATCAGTCACTAACAAAGCGGTCTAATGGAAAGTTCGTGAAACGGCTTGTGATTTTCTTCTTAAAAGTAGAAATGTCGAAATATACAGCGCGGGCCTTTTTTGAGGTTCTTTGCTTGATTCAGATTTAGAGTGGAGAGAAAACGAGGCGTTGATTTCTTCAGTTAAACAGGGAAGCCGTTTCACTTGACAACATTTGGTCACACAAAATGAAGGTAATGTTTTAAACACCTATCTTACGAGTGCAGGAAAACTCAATACCGCCAAATCAACACCGCCAACTCAACACGACCGACTCAACCCCGCCGATTCAGCGCCGGCACAACTCAGGACCGAGACAACTCAGCATCAGAAAAACATAAATTTTATCACCAAATAAAAGTAATTTATTAAATATTAAAAAGTTAACTAGTGAATATTTTTACTTTATTAAAAAAGAAAATACTTTACGATTTACTTTATTAAAAATAATTAAAAAAAAATATTCATTAAATAAGGTTTTAATCCTTAGTAAATTATTTTTATTCGATTATAAAAAAGTTATGTTTTTCTTGTGTTGAGTTGTCTCGGTTCTGAGTTGTCCCGGCGCCCACTTGGCAGTGTTGAGTTAGCAGTGTTAATTTGCATCTTCCCGTCTTTTACTATTATTTTAATTGTGATTAACTGGTCGATTTTTTATCTATCTATATTTCTGAGATGATTATGTACATTATTTACATTATTCGGACTATTGTCCTCATCTTTGTCGCCATATTTATTACAACGTTTCAGCCGTTGTACGCTCCGACCTTCTTCAGATGGTTGGAATGTCGAACTGAACCCTTTATTTCGCTCACTGGGGTAGACTGTTCTAGTTCCACGTTTAATGGATGTCAGTTATCTCCTGTTAATTTCCCTCTGAAAGTTCTCCACTGCCTTAACCGGGTATTGAACTCACACTCTTTGGGTCCTGTCGCTGGATCTAATTAACGCCTTTATTCACTGTGCCATGTGTCCTTGAGGAAATATAGACAGATATAAAAATATAGTTATATAAATTATCTGCATGATCTCGTACATGGTATCAGTAGTGAATCTCCCATTCAGGATAAGCCTTGCAAAACCCGTTTATTAGTCATTGTTATATATCAAGCTAATATATGTATATTTAATAAGCCTCTCTGTTACAGCGCCTATAAAATAGGTATTAAGCTCAGCTCGAAATCATTACAAAACCAATGATTTTACCAAATCTGTTTCTTTTTCACTTTAGAGTTCAAAATCGTTTGCCTAGTCTTGTGTGCGAAAGACTTGTTTTCCATTCTTCAAATCACTTTTCCACAGACAGTCTTTTTCACCCCTATTCCTTCCACTGCGCATGTCCAAATAAAGTCCTTTCGATAGTTCTATCAGTTAAGGCCTTTAAAGATAAGAGACGCCGTATCAATTCCAAGGAGTCGAGTCAAACTCATTTCCTCCGGATTTCACAGGTTTTTCTCAAAAGTTGCTTTATCAAGTCAAGAAACTGTCGTCAGTGTAATGGTTAGCAAGCCTGTCTCGCTAGATCAGTTACGACTGAAAAGTGACTTCGATCCTCACTAGGTACCCCATACATTCGGTCTTGTGCCACATCTACGCTTAGAAAATCATTTTTGGCACCTCGGCGTAGTGTAATGGTAAGTAAGCTTGACTCGCTAGAAAATTTAAGACTGAAAAGTGAGTACGATCCTCACTAAGTGCCATGCTTTCGGCCTTGTGCTACAGCTACACTATGTTTAGAAAACCATCCTGTGGCACCTTGGCGTGGTTTAATATTTAGCAAGCTTGACTCTCTAGATCAGTTACGACTGAAAATTGAGTTAGATACTCACTAGGCGCCCCATAATTTTAGTCTTGTGCCATATCTACACTATGCTAGAAAATCAATATTTTGGCACCTCGGCGTGGTGCAATGGTTAGCAAGCTTGTTTCACTGGAATTGAAAAGTGAGTTAGATCCTCACTAGGTGCCCTATTCTATCGGCTTAATGCCACATCTACACTATGATTAGAATTAATTTTTTGGCACCTCGACGTGGTGTAATGGTTAGCAAGCTTTTCTCGCTAGAACAGTTAAAAGTGAGTAAGATCCACACTAGGTGTCCCATATATTCGGCGTTGTGCCACATCTAAGAAATGATTTTCTGGCAACTCATCGCTAGAACGGTTACGACTGAAAAGTGAGATCGATCCTCACTAGGTGCCCCATACTTTCGGCCTTGTGCCACATCTAAGCTGCGCTTAAAAAGTAAACATAACCCATTCAGTATTACTATTTCGACTGTAATCGATTGTATTCGGTGAAATTCTTCTTATTATTGTTATTAATATTTATGTATGTTATATTTCCTGCTTCGTATTCCCTTACACCCGAGTCCAGACTATGATCCTTAGTCCCTATAGGAGAATTGTCAATTAATTTATAGCACTTTTCTTAGTATATGGGATAATCCTAGTAGGGTAATCTTCTGGGCAACTTGTATTTTGATGCTACCTGGAACACTGTTATTGTCCATTCCTTTTCTTACGAGGCCCAGTGCTCCGATTACTATCGGTACAGTCTTAGTCTTCCTTCCCCACATTCCATTAATCTCGATCTCCAGGTACTTTTATTTGGACAATTTCTCGATAATTTTCATGGAGGTGTTTCTCTCAGGTGGTACTGCTATGGCAATAAGCAAACACTTCCTGAATTTCTTGTCTTTTATGAAAATATCAATTCTGTCGATTTTTATTTCCTTGTCATTTTGAATTGGTATGTCCCAGAGGATAGTTACATCGTTATTTTGGGTAACTGTGTCTGGTTAGTGGCCATACCATCTTTCAGTGGTTTCAATTTTCTGCTTCTTGCACATCTTCCAGTGCATATATGCCACTAAAATGTTGTGTATATAGGTATATTCATTTTTGCTAGTTCCTTAATATTATTTTTTTTCCTTTGATTTCTGGCGTTTAGACATTTCTTTCCGGGTCCTGCCCAGAGACCTAAGGTTAGAAATGGCATCATGACACTTTCCACTGACAAAAAAAAAATTACATACATAAAGCCCTTCGTAAAGTGTGGGCTGTACTTGTCAGAACAATTTTTGTATCTCTTTGAGGCATGGACTTCCAGGAATCCCTTCAATTAGTCTACTGGAATCTTTTCCAACAAATCCTATGGCTCCAACTTGTTGATGTTCCTATGTGCCACATCTTTGAGATTTCTATTATTATTATTATTTTCGTAATTAACTGCTGATCTTGCGTTATGAGTGTTCTCCATCAAGTCGTACAACCTCTGATAGCATCCTTCACAGAATACTTGCAATGCCAAGCAACGCGGACTTCTGAAGTGATGGGATATTAGGCTGTATTCTTATTTTACCAATGTAGACTTTTAAGTTCGGTAGTATAACTCTTAGACCCCCAATCATAACTGACACACTAATGGCCTGGATGTTACACTTTCTGGCAAAGTTCAATCCTGAGGTCAGTTTATTTCTTGACGGGTGTAATTTCTTTAACCTTGATATCATGCCTACGAGAACAGCCACAGCGATGAATATTTTCATCTTCATTTCTTCTTCTTCTTCTTCTTCTTATTATTATTATTATTATTATTATTATTGAGTGAGAAAACAGCACGCCAATAATGAGGCTTAAATATGAATATACATTGTCCTATATGCCCGTCATAACATCCAGCCTGATAAGGGTATAGCAGGTATATGCAGTACAGCCAAATATGAGCGATATGACGACAGTTTTTTTTTTTTTCTTTTTATAAAAGTAATGCGTAACTTTACGGGTGGATCCGGTTAAAAATACTTTCAGCACGAATAACGCAGTCTTCTCATATGGTCGCTGATCTCAGGTGTTTCCAGGTATTTAGAGGTGACTCCCAAGTCACCTTGGATTCCTCAGCCTTCAAATCAAAACACCTCCTCAACACTAGCCCCACTAGCCCCGCTTATGAACAGACACACACAGTACTCCAACGCTCAAGAGGACACGGTCAACTGGTTAGGGTCAGGCAAATCTATGGTACTAAACGAGATATTTACAATAACAAGAAGTACATGTTAACATCTTGAATCCTTTATGATCAGAAGTCATGAGTCTAATGTAGCATCAGGGCATTTATTATTATTATTATTAGTAGTAGTAGTAGTAGTAGTAGTAGTGGCAGTAGTATTGAGCTTACGGCCATATCACTTTAAAACACCGGTTCCCATACGATCACCCGAAGTTAAGCAACGTCGACTCTAGTCAGTACCTAAATGGTGACTTCTTGGGAATACCAGATGCTGTAAGCTTGGATGTGCAGAAGGTGTAATGGATAAATGATCGGAACTGTCAATCGGAGAGCCGAGTTCCAATTCCAGTCGGGTTCTTTATATTCACTTACACGCAGGTACACTTAGGAAAGGTATGAATCATCTTCTCCTCCAGCTATGGGTTAATTAGTAAGACTTGTATCACTAAATCATTATTGTCTCCCTCCCAAACAAGAAAAATTATTACAATCTAAAATATATTTTCTGGCTTTAAATTACATGTAAAGTGTTTGATAAACAAGTCAATCAATCAATTATTGTTAACAATAATCTCTCTTCGCCATGTATACACTTTCTATTTTCTTGCCTTTCTTCTTCCTCTTTTTTCATCTTTCATTTGATATCTATCTCTCCTTATAACAAGTTTCTAAGCGTAGCTTGTGGCACAAGGCCGAATGTATGGAGCATCCACTGAGAATCGAACTCGCTACTCAGTCGTAATTGTGCTACCGAGACAAGTTTGCTAAGCATTATACTATTTCTCTCTTGTTATGTCTTCCTCTAAATCAATACCTCTTTTCCTGCCATTGTCTGATTCTATGTACGGCCTATCATCAGTAGTCATTGATCACTTTCTTTTCTTTTCTTTTCTTTCCTCTTCTTATTAATATTCTTTTTTCTTTATTCATTGACTGAATCATTCTATCTACGAAGGCAAATAAGAAAAACCGAAGTGAAACTATTTTTGTTTTCTGTTCGCCTCTTTTATTTACCAAAAGGTATCATGTATTCACTTTGTTGACTCAAGTGTATCGGACAGGGTTACTAGCAAGCTGGCGGTTGAGGAGTTGGGAAGAATTATTTTACGCAACCTGTTGGGTGGGTAGGTTCCCATTGAGTCAGCTTTACTCAATAGAAACCTCACTAAAAGATGACCTAGCATTTTTCAGGCGGAAAGATACTTTTATATAATTTAGTTTCGTCATTGGAGTCCGTAGTTACGGTCTTGTTTATTAAACATTCGTTGATATAGTTCAGCGGTGGAGCGAATTACAAGCAGTTAAAATTTCTAATGTCCTCACAGATATAAAGGGTAAGGAAAACCTGCTAGCAAATTACATATAAAGTCGCTAATTTCAAATGTATTAAAATCTTGTTTTTTTCCCGGTATTCTAAATAGAATGCTAGATAGGGCAAACATTATAAAATTGGATTTCAACTCAACAAAACATAAATGGGAAACTACTTGTTATTTATAAATATTCTTATTTTGTAAAACCTGAAAGTAATATCTTCAATTAAAATAAAGTTCACCTACGATGATTGCTGAAAAAAGTTATTAGTTTTTACTGATTTCCCAGAAAGCTTCTTTGCTTTAATTTTTTTTCTGACTCATATTATTTTTATTTTCTCTATCATAAACGTTCTCTAGGATTCATATCTGGAGAGCCTAGAGGCTCTCAGATGTTGTTTTTGAAAGCTTATTTTGGCAACATAGATAATAATCAGGAGGCATGGAGAAATAATGAATTGAGGATTTGAGTTCGAATTCCAGTCGAGTTCATTATATGCACTTACGTTCTAATACGCTTGGAAAAGCCCCACCAGCTATAGAAAAACAGCGGTTCAGATTTTGCACTTTAGCCTTGGTTGGCAGCCTGTCTAGGAGAAGAAAATTCTAAATTCTAACCAGCCTGGACAGGATTAAGCTACGTCAGGCTGTGTTGCCCAGGAAACATAACTACTGCTGTGACTGAAGTAGATTTCGTGCCACTTAAGGCCTAAAAGGTTACGAAACTCGTGATAATAGTCAAAGTTGAAGGGACATTGTCTTCCATGAATATACGCTTTAGTTTATTGTTTCTTGGTCCTGACTTTAGTCAATCAAAAGCGGCTTATCTAAGAACTTACATTAATTATATGTATTTATCTTGAAGCATCACATTTGAAGAGACCTACACCCTTGTGCAAATTAACCGCTTTAGTTTCCTTTTTTGTTTCACCATACGCTCAGTTTTAGACCCACTGGAGTGAGAGGGTGTAATCAATTTCTATTTTTTCCTCAGATTAGGTCATTTACACTGGTGTGTAGTAATCTATTTTCGGGGTGTATTATTAAATTTGTTTCGCCTTGAAAAATATTGCGTCATCCGTGATTGCATCAGATTTTCATCACGCCCAGACACTAGTCTCGAATGTTGATTAGTTGTCCTACGGCCATTGTCTGCGATGGACGTTACTCTAAGGAAGCGTACGAAAATTGTATCGCTGCACGAAAACACCGGCAAGCCTTACCAGTGAACAAATCAAAGTACTATAGACTGACTCGGAAACTTTCCTAATTTAAATCCAATCGAAAATCTGTGGTCAATCTGCAATAAAAGACTTTGTGAAATGGACATACTAACATGTGGACTGGATCATGTTTCATTGGAAAAAATACGAAGAGAAAGTCAATAATAACGGAATTATTCGTTTTGTTTCAATTAATTTGAACCAGGGTGTTAATTACTGCTAATAATACTATACCACGACATTGCACCACTTAACGCAGGTTATCTTATAAGTAGGCTGATTATTTTCATGGCGGATCCATCCATAGACTAGTCATCAGGTCCGTTCAATATAGCTCTATCTTCATCACTAAAAAATTAGGAGAAATCAGTTTTCATGTATTCTGACAATATCTAAATATTTACATCTTTTCTCTCTGTTTAAATTCGCAACACTTGTTAACGGAACTTTTCATGCTGGTCACCCATCTTATGTTTGTTGCGAACGTTTCAATTTTTCTAAAGTTATTGTCGCCTTTTTAAGCCATACGATTTCATCATCTCTATTCAATTTTACGTAATTCTCAAAGTTGTAAACTCATCACTCAATAAATTTACATCTTGTTTCTCTTTTAGGCTCATATCTTTTTGTTGAAGCTTGAATAAGCATGGAATAATAATAATACAACACAAAATGTACGTAACAAAATGTATTGAAACAATGAAAAAAGGTACACAATATTTACAGGTAGTTTTGGTATATTCTTGGGAAGACTGTTCCTGCAGAATGGGTTGACTAAGTCGCAGTCGGGCAGAGTCTCTGGATTCGATCTCTTAATCTTCCGTCGTCTTCCGGTACCAACCCATATTTATATGGTCGGTACTCCACTTATGTAAATTAGGTGTATCATACACAACACTTTTCGAGGTGCGTGTAAATCTTTATATATCTTAAATTAAGAATTTTTCTATAAATACTTTCCTGATAATAGTTCAGATGAGATCTTCGATATGGTTTCTAGACTGCAGTAATTTTTAACTGTTTCTTTTGTCGCACTTCCCACTTGTGAAACTCTCTTCAATGCTTTTCAGCCAACTTTAATCTTCAGAAATGTAAATACAATATTAATCTCTATCTATTTTCCTCCTGATTATTCTTTTCTCTTCCCGCTGATTATTAATATTTCTGTTCCTAATTCTGTTACACCCAGTAACTCTTTAGGTCTTAGTGACTTTACTACCTTACTTTGGGTGAAATCGATTAAAAATATATCTATATTAATATATATATTTATTATATTATATGGCCTTTTTCATCGATGGCGACGGTCGGCAGTGGAAAATAGTTTATCTTAAAACTCAGCGCCGCTCGTGGCTAAAACAAACAATACGCAATCGGCACTGTTTTTGACAACGACCACAGTAATAGAATATTGTGGAGTCATCCACCGTGGGGCATTTGCGTCTTTGTCTAGCCTCTACTGCGCCTAGAATCTGTCCTATTCATGGCTCTTTGCTCCTGAAAAAAACAGCAGCCCTCCACCCCACTCGATTCCAGAAAACCGAAACAAGGAAAATTCCATCATGGACGTTTTACACTGGTCCATGAAATGAAGCATGGGTCGTCCAACGTTACCTCAGGCACGTGCCCTCAGACAATTCCTCATACAGTATCTATTTTGGAATTCTGGAGTTATCCATGCGCGCAACGTGCCCAAAGCTAACTGAGATACCGAGACCTCAGGATGGGATACAATGACTGAAAGCCAGCTCTTTTGAGCACTTCTGTATCCGGAACCATATCTTGACATTTCATTTTTTTTTTTTTTTAATATTTCTTAAAAGTCTCACGTGAAACCTATTTAACCTCCTCTCCTGACCCTGGCATATATGATCAACGTCTCAATCCCGTAAAGGAATGTTGAGAGGACACATGTTTGGTAAATTAGAGTTTTGGTTTTTATTCTTAGTTTAGATATTTCTATATAATGTGATAATCAGACACTTTCCCACCACCATAACGTGACTTCCCTGTGTCTTAATATTTTCATGGTACATCTTTGCTACCTAGATTTTATGAATTTAAGCGCAGTACTAGATTGGCAGCTAGGTCTCATCAATTTAAAGCTGAAATTAATAGATATAACCGTAAGTTCTATGCTAACAGTTTCTTCTCTCGCACTTGTCACCTGTAGAAATCTATTTCGTTATGTACTATATTCTTATTTCTTGTTCTTTTATTGTTTTCTCTCCGTAATAATGTTTTTCTTTTTCTCATATTCTTTCCCACTCACTAATTCTTTGAGTTTTAGTAGCTTTATTGCCTTGCTTGGGGCTAAATGATTAAAATGTGGATAACAAGTTCTTATATCGCAAAATAAGTTATTGTAAATATTTCTAATAAAAACGGGTAAATCGACTTGTTTTTTCGACTTATCAACCTTTTATAGGTTATTTAAATCCAGAAAATAATTTTAGATAGTAAAAATGTTTTTTAATCTAATAATGACTTAATGTCAAATATCCTACAAATTAACCCATAAATGGGGGGAGAAGAGGTAAATTCCTACCTTTCCCAATGTTATTTCAGCGTACGTAAATATTACGAACATGTCTAGAATTGGAACTAAGCTCTCAGATTTCCAATTCCAAATTACACGACGCGCAGATCTAAGCTAACAGCACTTGGTATTTCCAAGCGGTCACCCATCAAGATACTGACAGGGCTCGACGTTGTTTAACTTCGGTGATCGTACGAGAATCAGTGTTTCTACATTAGTCCGGATAAATTGAAATTTCTATCATATATTTGTATAAGTATGTCCTGAAAATTTTAAGGATATCGCTTGGTTTAGGCCAAAATTGGATTAAAAAGACATTTTTACTTGCATGATAAAATCTGGCAAAAAATATTTAACACCATTTGATTTCTTCCCTAATGAAAACTATAAAGGCAAAGTTAACGCGTTGATTCAACGATACTCGGTCGGTAGGGCAGGGTTCGATTTTGGAAGCGTGGTATTGCACTCAATTTGAAAGTTGGGGTTTTACATGATAAATAATAACGCAAAATAGTTTTTCCAAAACGTTACCATTTTTTGAAGAAATGACTTTAAAGCTCAGGTTCAAAATCGTAGGGTTGGAATTTCATTCCGGTGATCAGTGACAGTCTTATAGCACGACCTTATAAAATTATTACTACATCATTGTGACATCCAATAAGACCTCCATTTATTTCAAAGGGTAATTATACTGAACAATTTTGATGTAATATGTTATACAGTCCAGTATTTTTACTGTGATTTTCAATGTACGATGAAAATTTAAAACATTCTGTTTTATAATTTTTGCCCAGCACTATTACAAATATTTATATGTATATGTTATATCTATATATATATATATATATATATATATATATATATATATATATATATATATATATAAACTTTTATATTATATTTTTATCTATTTTTTTTTTTTATTAGTTATGATCGAACAAATGATCTATCAAATGATCTATCAAATGATCTATCAAATGATCTAACGAATTTTATTCATTGTCTAGCCTTTTTACAATCTTTTACAATTTTTTTATTTATCCAATACAGTAAAAAAAAGTTCATATTTTGCTTGTGGTGATTCATAAAATTTTACGTTGAATATATTTTCCATTCAATTTATCTAATAAAAAGATAACTTTATTTGAATTTATTCTTGAAATAGTAAAATTTTGAAGTCAGTTTGTATGCAAAAACATCCAGAAAGTAGAATGATCAGACTTTAAAACTAAATGCTCAAAAATTAGTAAAAACTAATTTTTTACTTATTACCTCAAACCCCAGCTTTCACATTTTAATTTTCTAAAAAAAAAAGTGAAAAATCAACCTGCTCTACTCGATTGGTTATGTCTTAGACAATTTGCGCTGGTCAAATATATTCTGGTCATTATTCTCCCCTGATATTTCCTTTTTTATTTTTAACATCCCTGAAATTTTTGTCCCCATCTATAGAGATTCATATTAAATATAATTTCATGTATCCAATTAATTTTTATCACTCAAAAATTATTAATTAAGAAAGGGATGGTGGCATGCATCTCTTGATTAAAACGGAACCTATATATATATATATATATGTGTGTGTGTGTGTGTGTGTGTTGTGGGAAATATCACGTAGAAAACTTTCTTTACAGGAGTGTAACGTGCACTTAATGATTGAAAATAATTCTTGATATTTTTATTATTTGTTCTTCCGATTCTACCATTGATGCAATAAACGTTAAATTACGAGACCTTCAATCAAGTAGAATTGTTGATACGAGATTTGATGCTCACAAATATATCTCTTGATAAAGTGAGTGGTAAACTTTGTTTATGAATGGAGGACTGGAAATATCGTGTGTAAACATTTTAAAGTATTTTTTTTGTTAACATTTTTCATTATTTTGGAACTGTTTAGCTCTTACCTCATAATTATGACCAATTAAAGGAGAAAAAAAAACATTGAATGTTGCTATTTCGAGCAACATTCTCTATTTGGAGAGACATTCTCCATAGGGAGAGAAATACTCTTTTTGAATAGGTATTCTCTATTTGGAGAGACATTTTCTATTTGGAGAGACATTCTCTATTTGGAGAGACATATTCAGTTTGGATAGACATTCGCTATTTGAAGAGACATCCTCTAAATAGAAAGACATATTCTCTTTAAATAGACATACTTTATATTGAGATAAACATACTCTATTTGAACAGATATTCTCAATTTGGAGAGACATACACTATTTCGAGAGACATTCTATCTTTGTCTACGATGGGGGTCAATAACGCCGTTATCTGTTGAATTTTGATCTCTGTATAATGTTTGATTAATGTAACTTTTTTAATCAAAGGAACTATATATATATATATATATATATATATATATATATATATATATAGTGAATTTATTTTTAATCCGGCATTTTTATTATAGTTATTATTGTGATTACTTTGTATTTAAAATAGACGACCCATTTGTATTCATGAAACGCTGTATATTATGTCTAGCGGCCTGCACCTTCTACAAATGTGAGGATACATCTGCTTCACTAAGTTTTCTCGAATACACAGGCCGATATACAGAAAATAACGTATCCATATAAAATAACGTTTGAAATAATATATATATATATATATATATATATATATATATATATATATATATATATATCGCGTATATTTTGGCATCATCTTTTCTTTAAAACATGTCTCATTAAATAGTTTAGATAAGTTTTGTCTACTTATTTTCAATGGGATCCTCTCATATTCACAGACAAGCTTCTTAGTATCCTTATTAACAAAAAAAAACATACCAGGTTGAAACATTCATTTCTTCCGAGAACTTACTTATCTCCCTTGAGGTTTACATCGTCAAATTTAAAACGTACGGTACATAACCTTAGCGTTTTTCACTTGACAGGTAAAAAATTTCACTTTCAGACGGACGCAACAATTTTGCTTTAGAAAAATGAACACAACAATTTTTGTCTTAGAAAAAAACAACACCCTGATGATGACATTGCCCTAATGTCGAAAGTACTCGGAATAAATGAATATGTATCAACATGGTAATTTTCTCTCAGAAGCTTGTCCGCGAATATATGAGGATCCTATTGAAAATAAGTTAACAAAACCTGTCTAAATTATTCAATGAGACATGTCTTTATATATATATATATATATATATATATATATATATATATATATATATATATACACACACATATATTACTTCATATACTTTATATATTTCGTTGACTTCATATATGTATATGTGTGTGTGTGTGTGTATCGCGTGTTAATTCCAATAATATTGGAAAGAACGAACGAACTATCTGACCACCCAATATAATGGCATTCATATATCTAATTAGATAAAATTTATTTATGTTTGTCAGTTCCGCTTAGACTTACGTATGGTTCAAAGAACAGAGGACGTGTAAAGTCATTTGTCCCTAGGTGACTTACTTTGGCCGTGTAGGCACGGGGCAGGCACAAAACGATGGAGCCAATGTTTTATATTCATCAAATGCTGACAGTTTCAACAGTGTCCATAAATTAGAAAGACGTGCGCGGGAAACCTTTGCACGATCGCTTGATCCCGTTTAAAAGCCGACAACAAATCGGATCGCATTAAGCTATCCACAATGTTTCCAGATAAATCAATAAATCCCACAGGAGAGGATCGACAGATTGCAGAGTGAAGGCGCGAAATCAACAGAATAATGACGGGAAATGCAATAATGGTCATGACATTTGTAACAGCACGAATGATCTGTCTATATTTCTGAGATGAGGTATTATGTACGTTATTTACATATCTAAAGCAAAATTGTTGCGTTTCGGTCGTTGTACGCTCCGGCCTTCTTCACCGGGTATTGAACTCACACTCTTTGGGTCCTGTCCCTGGATCTAACCAACGCCTTTATCCACTGAGCCATGTGGACATCTGTGTATGAATTTATGGATATTATAAACCTAATATCCTTATTCGTACACAGATGTCCTTAAGGACACATGCCATAGTGGATGAAGGCGTTAGTTAGATCCAGTGACAGGACCCAAAGGGCGAGAGTTGAATACCCGGTTAAGGAAGTGGAGAACTTTTAGAGAGAAATTAACAGGAGATAACTGATAACTGACATCCATTAAACATGGCACGTGGAACTAGAACAGTCTACCCCAGTTAGCGAAATAAAGGGTTCAGTTCGACATTCCAACCACCTGAAGAAAGCCGGAGCGTACAACGGCCGATACGTTGTAATAAATATGGCGACAAAGATGAGGACAATACCACGAATGATATTTTTAAAAAAATAAAAATAAATGAAGGCTTGATGAGTCGACGTATGTGCAACATGGTTGATCACAACACCACCGAAAATGTATTTCCGCTGAATATAAATGTTAGTTTTTCATTCTTTTATTCCTCTGTTCGTGTTTTATTCCCTAATTTATCCATCTTTATTCTTACTTTTCTGCCACAATCCCTGTTATTATAATTATAGCTGTTCTTTCTAATTGTCAAATTGGAACAAAGTGTCGCTGCCGACACACGAATCACCAGAGAGGAAACACAGTCGACCTCATCTTGAATTAGATCACGTAACGGGTAAAAGAAAAATACATATATGTGAATTAGCGGCGTCTGACTGAGCAATGTTCGAAGGCTTTACTATTATTGTATCTGTGATTTACAAAGTCTCTCCTACAAACAGGCATCACAAAACTAATATAAATACATGGATTTTGCTGACATAACATCTAATAGATCTTTTTTCTATATCCGTGGGTTTTTTTAATCCTTTTTTTCCTTTGTTATTTTGTCATATCTGTTGTCTGTCATGTCTGCAGATGCTTGAATACACTGAATGCATCACCCTGTTGGAAGGTATGATCCCGCCCAAAAATGCCCACCGACTACAGACTCAATTACCTATGCACGAATAAAATAAATACTTATAGATAGACCAACAAGAGTTGATATGGCTTGAAATAAACGAACCAACCCTATTAATTTTGTGGGCTTTTTCCGTCAGTAGCCATCAAAAGTCAATGTCTATAATATTAAAAAAAAAAATTATGTCTATTTTGTTTTGCTCCACGGAAAAGGAACTATGAATATTTTTCATTAGCTTCCACCACTAAAACTAAAACCCAATATCCCCACCTATTATTTTAAAACTTGAATAGGTATTAAAGAAATAAACTTAATATATAAATTCCATTTCTTCT